GGTGGGAATGATAAACAAGCTGATGGGATATTTGATGGAATGTTAGACAATAACAGTATAAAGTTAATTATGATAGTATATCAAATCGAAACCCTGTGATAGTTTTAACGAAACATCATAGATATTATGGAATGCTCTGCCATACTACCACAGAGTTGTACCAGAGGAAAACTTTGTACAAAAGTAGTTCGTTTGGGCATCTCTGTCCCATTCGTGTTTCTATTGTGAAGCAGTTATGTTTACATGGCTGTGTTTCGGTTTGAATCGTGGGATATGGCAGTGAATTTACAGGGTACAGAGAAATAACACTAAAAAAGTTGTACTTAGCTTTATGTATTTTTTTTTAATCATTTATGTTATCTCGATTTTTATGTATTTTTATATATCTATTATATATATATTGTAATTTGTGTGCTGTAAGTAATGCAAATAAATTATCTATCTATCTATCTACCAGTACTTTGGTGAAATATGTAGCTCGAATACACTATTGAACATATAATGTAACCATGTTTAGTGCAAATAAAGAATCTGAATCTAAAACTGAATCTCATCTATACAAAGACAGTTGCGTAGTGGCAGAGAGATAAATGGAACAGAGATATCCAAGCAAACAACCTTTGTACAAAGTTTTCCTTTAATAAACATAGTTCTTAGAACACAAAGATTGGAATACATCAACTTAAAAAAAACAATTTCGATACGGGTTCTTAAGTTCCTGATTTGGTAAAAAAGTGTAGCATTAAACATTAATAAAGTAATGTTTATGTATTATATGTGCATTTCTTATGTATTGTGTATTGCCTTAATGTGTTACTATACCTAATTGTCACATATTTTTCACCACATCTGCCCTTTATACGCTTTCTGTTTTTACCTAATGGTTAGCTGGTAGAGAATGCCATATGACATTAAGCTCGCCACTTGTACAAAGTCTTATTGTGCAATAAAGAATAAATAAATAAATAAACACGGCCTTCATTTAAACTTTTTTTTTAATCACATCAGATATTATTTATATTTTTATATAAACTTATATTATTTTAAACGGGAAAAAGTTAATCTTCAGAGATAATTTTCATCTCTAATTCGTCAATATTACATTATTTATAAATTATAATAAAGTGCGATCATAAAGTTTCGAAAACTTATTAGGGTTAAAGGCCAACGGCGTCGTTCACTTCAGATATTTTGGTATATAACGATAAAAAGTGAAATACGACACTCCGTTAAGACGAAGACAAAATCAATCATAATAAAAAGGTTCTATTACAAATAATGTATCGTATATCAACGTAATCTATCGGTTTGGAGGCAGTAATATACGAGTACAGTCGCTTTACTTATAACAAATTAGATTAGAACGAGCAAACGATTTCAAGTGCGCCTTTTGTGATTTAATGGCGTTTAGTTGCTTAATAGTTGGTTGCATTGATGAAATAATCATTACAGTCTATTGGAATATCATTCTAGTGAAATAGGAATGATTGATCATTGAACTAGTTTTGTTTCGCGGCTGTGAACACGTGAGTTTGTATGTAAAATGTATTAAGTATCCTTATTAATCGATTAGAATATAATATATCTGTGAACTAAATTCCGTTCAAGTCCGTTAAAGTGATTAAGTAACAAATATTTATATATATATGTAAACTATAGGTATATGTACAAAAGTCGATTGCTTGGGTACCTCTGTCCCATTCGTTTTTCAACTGTGAAGCAGCTGTGTTTGCATGGCTGTGTTTCGGTTTGAAGGGCGTTTCATGGGCGGCGGTAGTCACTTACCATCAGGTGAGCCGCATGCTCGTTTGCCCCCTGTGTTGTAAAAAAAAAAAAAAAAAAAAAAGGGTGGGATATGGCTTGAATTTACTGGGTACAGAGGAATAACACCTGAGTCCTCAGGAATGGCAACGCATGGGGAGTATCATGGGCGAAACAGTATACTCTGTTATGTCCATGGTACTGCTCATGTCTATAGGCGACGGTTACCACTTTCCATCAGGTGGACCGTCAATTTGTTTGCCATTCTAAGTTGTATAAAAAAAATTTATGTAAATTTTTTTTAAATAGGTAATTTCATTAATAAGTAGGTTTTAGTATTTAAGCCTCCTTCAACCTAATTGTATTTTTTTAATGGATGATGGTGGAATCGTAAACCCCACCTACCCTATCGGTGTACACTGGCGGGGCACCAGTGAGGGATGACAGGTGAGGATGCAGCAAGTTAGTTAGCCCATCGTGACGAATTCAAGAATTAACCACGAAGGCTTCTAGTGGGAACCGTTTGATTGATTTGAATTTTAACGAGTTTAAATATTTAGTGGAGGGGGGGGGTAACTGTTAGTAAAAAGGAGGAGAGAGGAGTAAGACCTTATATTTTTTATATCTTATATCAATATAGCAATAGCCCTGTCAGGTCGACCTTCACGCAATCCATCTTGGAAACCACCCTGGTTAATTCCTTGTAAAATCGCCATGAAAGTCTAACGGATCTGCTTTCATTCTCACCTATCGTCTCTCGCGTCCCGCCAACGAATACCGATAGCGCAGACGGGGTTACCATTCCATCATCGTCTATAAAAATATATTTAGTAGAGATTCATAACATTATTGTAACACTGATTATAATGTTGACGTGCTATGGATGACTCATAAGATTAATTAAAACAACTTGACTGGGACGTTAATGCTTAGAACACGCTTGTTGCTAAACCCAAAGATCGATTGTTGGTAGAATGCAAATAATTATATATTAAACGACTGTATTATGTTAATTATGAGAATGTTGATATGTTTTTAATAGGTATGATCTAAGTGGTTTTTATTTTTATTTTATTAGGTATTTACCAGAGGGAGACTTTGTACAAAAGTCGATTGCTTGGGCACCTCTGTCCCATTCGTGTTTCAACCATGAAGCTGCTGTGTTTGCATGGCTGTGTTTCGATTTGAAGGGTGGGATATGGCGTGAATTCACAGGGTACAGAGGATCTGAGTTCTCAGGAATGGCAACGCTTGGGGGGTATCATGGGCGAAATAGTATACTCTGTTATGTGCATGGTACTGCTCATGTCTATAGGCGACGGTTACCACTTTCCATCAGGTGGGCCGTCAGCTTGTTGGCCATTCTAAGTTGTATAAAAAAAAGGATACACAATAGATTACAATCAATAACATTAAATATAAAATATTTATAAAAAAAATGGTATGACCCAGGTTAAGATCCAGACATGTGTACAGAGAATATAGTTAAAGCAGCTGGTAAAGTATGTTAAATTATTTTTAAAATAAACGTTAACATGACGATGATGTAGTCTCATGGGATTCGAACTTACATACCTCCGTGTCTCCGTTATCCGAGCCGTGTGTATTTCCAAGTTAGTTTATTTTTTTACATATTTATTCTCTTTAAATATTCACTGACTATGAGAATATATATACGTATACGAAAAGAAACTCATAAATAACATGCGTTATATTATACATAGAAGAAAAATAATATTAAAAATAGTTGGAAATTATTTGTTAGTATTAAAAAAAAATAATTAGACAGTTTTCAATGATTCTGATTGATCATTTATAGGGAATTAAAATGAGAATAATAGAATAAATTGTATATAAATCTACTACTAAAAACTTTGCAGCTACTTCATATGTTACTTCGAAAAAATTCAAATACATTCCTGCCATTGAAATTCGAATTTTGAGTGAAAGCTTAAAAAGAATATTATTGCATAGATAACATTTTAATTCGCTAGCACAGTACTTTTTAAATAATCCGTCAACCCACATTAAAAACTGTTGAATTGTTTTTGAAAATTGACAGATAATTGCGACGTTGCCACATTTCGGCGAATTGAAGTTATGAACGTTTATAATATTGCACAAATTATTCTATTCGTGTGCGTATTTAGAAACACACAATTAAGTGTCAAGACCGAGTCGCCAGCCTAAATATGGTCGTATTATTTTTAAAAGTTATGTTAATTTTTTATCAGATATATATACTCGAATAAATTTTGAATCTCGACTTGTTCAGCTGCTAAATCGATCGTCAGTTCATCGAGCTATATGCCCAGCCTATTGCCATTTTAGTTTTCTTATCGTTCAGACTATGTCGGTTACTTTAGTTTTTCTGCAAACATCCACATTTTGGATTCTATCACCGAAACAAACTCTGAGTACAGCCCTCACTGAGCAACTGTTAAATTAGTACTAAATAAATACTATTACATTGAAGTAACAAATATTACTCATTCATTGGTAATCTATTCATTTTATTTCTTCACAACAATTCAGTACTTACTAAAGCTAAATAATAAAGCTGCATCCACACTATACATAATATCGGTCCCGGTTCGTTCTCAGTCCGATCTCAGTATGATAAAATATTATTACGTAAGAAACAATGAGACCGATTTTAATATGCCATTTCTCTACATTTATCTCTTGACTTAACATTTTTATTTATTTATTGTATCAGCCTTTAACTGTCCACTGCTGAACACAGCCCCATAAGGAGGGTTTTGCCAGTAGTTGCTGCGCTTGGCAGGCGGGTTGGCAACCGCAGTTTGGCTTTTGGCGATACTTTAAGAGGGACGCTGCTATCCATCCTACACCATAAACTCTCCTAGTCCCCTCTTACGACATCCACGGGAAAGGAAGGGGTGGTCTATTCTATGCCAGGACTTAATTTTTTTTTTATTTTAATCTAATTAAATAATTAATCTGCGAAATCGCAGAATTCCTTTTTTACAGACCGTCATAAACTAAAATTATAGTAATGTTGACTTGCATCTATTAGAAAATTGCTTCGCATTGATTCTTACAATAAATATCTAATTAAATTAAGGTTTTAATTTAAGAAATAAAGAAATACCACTTATGATTCGAACCCAATGTGTTTGTATATTCTTAAATATAGTCCAGTAATGCCAGATTGAGATCGGACTGAAAGCAACACTATAGTGAGAATCTGGCTTAAACTAGAAAAAAGTACTCACAGTGGTTGGTTCGACGCGGGCAGGCAGCGCGCGCGCCACGTCCGGCGAGGCGGATCGTTCGCGCTCGCGCATCTCGCTCGCGAGCGCCGCGCGGGCCGCTCGCGCCGCCACCTCCAGGCAGCCGCTGGATTTACTCCTGTCAACACATAGCATAATTGACATTCTTGGTTACCATACCACTCGACAGATTGCGTGTCCCGTCAATAATTGTTTAAAATGTTTAAATTACAAGCAGCTTAAATTTAAAGCAGTTTACATTGCAGAAAGAACAGTTTATATGAGAAAAAGAAAAGTAATCTCTTTACGGTTAATCTAGCATTTTTTAATTTTTTTTCCCTTGTATAAAACCCTCTTTCGAACTTCTCCAAGTTTTTCAAAAAGAAAATTAGAACCCGCATATTTCACTAATCATGGTCGGCCATGTTCCCAATTTCTCAACTGGGAACATAGCTGAATATTTACCGTTTAATCATTATCATCATCTCAACCATTAACTGTCCACTGCTGAACATAGGCCTTCTCCACAGACTACCATAAAGAACGGTCCTGAGCCACCTGCACCACTGACTAAATGACACTTTATAACCTATACGATTCTAAAATACAAGCTTACGTACCTTAAACTATTCCCAAATATAATAACCGTTTTCATTTGGCGGTTCATATGCTCTATGACATTTTTGATTTGTGCAAAGAAATCTTTAATATGTGAGTACAAAATAAACGATAATAACTCCACATTCACTTTACTTTATCAATCTTGAGTATCCTCACCTGACAGGCCTATCGAGTGGGCCGAGGATGGAGAGCGGCTGGTCAGGGGCGGCCGGAGCCGGGGGCAGGTACATCACATGCCCACCCCACGACAGGTACGAGTTGCTGGGCCGCCACGCACCTGTCTCATCCTAGAAAAAAAAATAACTATATTAATTTGGAAATTTGTAAATATGGACGCAAAACAGCAGTGTAGACATCAAAGCTATAAATAATTATGATTGACATCAGATTTTGCAAGTAAATTAAATAAAACTTTTGTAGGTAGTTAAAACAATGTTTGAGTACTGAAATAAATGTTATACGAATCCAAATACGATGAATTTTGTATAACCTGCTTCATAAATCCATTGATGAAGTGAATTGCATTTGTATAAAGTGTTTTTTTTTACACCTCTATGCATTTTTATGTGTAATAAAATATATATAAAATATGTACAAAAAATTAATTTAATTCTCATTTATTTGTCTTTCAGTTATTACTTCATAACCTATAATACCACTTTAAAATACATAATATAAAAATATATATGTAATAACCTAAAACACATACATTAATTAGATCGTATTACAAAAAGATCACATATTTTTAAATATGGCAACTCAATTAGCGTTCACTTATCTATGAAAAAATAAATTATATACTATTTGCCTACAACTAAAGATGAAAATTATAATTATATTTAATTAATATAATATATAATAATAAATAATTAATATAATCATTAATCACTGCGAGTTTCAATTATGATCGTGACCTGACGTGGATGTCAGTGACGGAACCTAACAAAAAATTGTGACCTTTTTGTTAGTGTTTTAATTATCAACAAAAATAATTCGTATCCTGATAAACATTAAAAAAAAAAATTAAAAAAAGAACCTTTGGAAGTATCAAAACCACAAAAAAAAAACTCGACAATTGATTTTGTATAATATAATAATTTTCGAAAGATTTTGAAGAGATTATTAATGTCGTATTTTTTTTGACGTTATATAATCTACAATACTCTTAAAATTATGGGGAATTTGTGTCGAAGCCAACAACATCATTATTTGTTAAAATTAATTATTAATTAATGTAATTATTTAGGTTTTAAGTTCTATCAAAGATCTGGGCCTCTAGACAAGTGGCAAGCGAATTCGTCGATGGAATCGACATCGCTAGCGAGTCCTTGGGTTGGAATGAGTCACCCGGCGTTGCCATCTCATTCTATCTCACGGACTCGCTAGCGATGTCGATTCCATCGACGAATTCGCTTGCCACTTGTCAAGAGACCCTGGATATACTTAGACAGATATATGGCCATAGATGCTAGAGTAAGAGTTTGGATAAAAGTTGTCTACATAACCTGTCTACCGTACAGCAGCTATTCTTTATCATCATCAACATATCTGCCATTATTTGTTCACTGCTGAACATAGGCCTTCCTCTATTGGAGGGTTTTGACAGTAGCCTCCACGCTCGGCAGATGGGTTGGCAACTGCAGTTAGGCTTTGGTGACGTTCAAAGAAGGACGAACAGCTATTCTTGCATAGCTTTATTAAAACCAAATTTATGGTAGTGAAATTACAGAGTACGGAAGCGTGTATCTTGGTACTTAATATATAAGAGCTAACATCGGCATCACTATGAGTTATGTGATATTTATGGTGATGATCATATTTGTAGTTGATGATTATCGCTTTCCATCAGGTGAGCCGTCAGCTTTTTCGCCATTAGAAGTTGCGTAGAAAAAATACATGATTACATACATTCAAGAAACGTTACCCTCCTTTCAACATTGACAATTAGGTAAAGAGCAATTGTAAACGCACCTTCTCTGAGGGCGGCACCGACTCTTCTTTGATATTATCCTCAGCAGATACCTTCGTCCTGGCAGGCTGCTGGAACAACAGCGGATTACTCAAAGAGTTCGGCGCTGACTTCGTCAGGAACCAGTTCTGTTCAGGTTCCTGTAACATCGGCTCGTGCTCCAGATCGAACCTCCTGGATCCTAAAGCCGCACCGAGTGCCCCCGAGACCGACTTTCTCAGTTTCTGTAGACTGTTGAAACTTTGCTGCAGCTGTTTCCCCTGAAAGCATTCGTAGAAGCACGACATCCCTTTAAACTACGTGGGGATCGTGATGCTCTCTTTGTTCAGGCTGATGAGGAATAAAGGACAGCGAAATGGCTTCAACGCTACTTCAACTTTTAAACTATTTATTATTTCATTTCATAAATTACTAATAGTGTAGTGCTAGGAAATGAAAATGTCTTTATAAAAGTGAAAGAATAAAATAATGATATTAAAAAATCAGTTTATGAGAGAATACAAACATGAATAGAACAAAAGAGCAAAATAGACTACGAGTATATTAGAAAAGGTTTTTTTTTGTCAAATAATAAATATACATAAATAAATAGTCAACAAAGATGCATCTAATTCTAAACTAGGTAAGCCAAGGTAAGGTAAAATAAAAGTAAATAATAAGTGTAAGGTAGAATATTAAACAGCTATACGACTATATCACCACCGCGGATATCATGTCCTGTCACTATATTATTAAAAGAAATCAAACTATGAAGAAGGATGTTTTAAAAACCCAAAACCGAAATTATTTCAACTAGAAATGTAAATATCTTACATATATTATTTTTTGCACTTGTAAATTAAATAGATAATGTATTTATAAATATTGTGAGCAAGGGTGGACACATCTCTGAAAGAGATCTCTTCCAGCCAACCCAATACAGTGAGAAAGCATGTAGTTTGCTGGCAGCCGAAGTGCACGCGTACCTACTGTACAAACAACGTCAACACTAATCAATACATTAGCTACAAATAAACAGTTAAATTAAATATTAATATACATTATAATATTACTTATAAATATATAAATATAATAATATCTACTTACTTATATAATATATGTTAAAATAAATGAATATACCAATCTTTGTTAGAAATTTAGTTTAATAATTTTAAGATATGACAGTTCTTTTTTGATTTAAAAACATACAACAAATAATGTTGGTTAATTATGATGATTATAGAAGAGTTAGATAGAAAACGTGTTAAATTTTTCTGCATTTATTTAACCAAAAGTGAAAACTGAATCCCTAAAGTTATTCCTTGACGCCTTTACTCCTCCTCAGCTGTGCCATTAACGGGAGGTCAGGCGAGTGATTAGTCCGTTAGTTACGAATATGATATTCCATCGACACTTACAATTAGTGTATATTTCGATGATTTATCTATAGTATTCCTGCAAGGTACATCAAATTGCATACAATCTACTCACAAGTAGACAATGAAACTTCAGAAAAAAATATCATGCCAGGACCTGACCAATGGCATACTAGTTCCAAATTAAAAGATCCAAAGAACCTTCAAAGATTACCAATTATAATAATTATGAAATTACTAAAACCTTGTTTTTATTGAATACGGTATATTGTAACGATAATACTATAGAGAAATCATCTAAACAACCAACCGCTCCCCCACCATCCCGTGAGTACCTTCCAATACTCACTCTGTCATGTGCATCTCTAGGCAGAGACAGGCTGAATGGCTGTGCTCCCGGGTTGTACGTCACAGCACCGCCTGGAAGTAGCACACCTCGTGTACCACCAGCCCCATCGGAACTGCTGTCGCCGAGATCTTGCTGTGGCGTCCATGCCGCTGGTGACGATTCTTGTGTCTGGCAAAATTATGGGGAAAATATTTTACTTATAAAGTAGAGGAAAAGGAGTGTTTAGTATTGTAGTTCCTTTAACTCAAACAGAATATACAAATTAAAAATATTTAATAAAATTAAAAAAATTATTGGTCAATAAAGTGAAACAATTTTTTTTGAAAAAAAAAAAAAAACATTTTTGTGTAGGTGTCGTAAGAGAAGACTAAGGGAACTTAATGATTGTGAAATAGGTAGCAACGTCTCCCTTGAAACATCACCAAAGCCTGTGGTAACTATAATAATAAATTGTAATAAGTTATAACTCACGTGATGCCGTGGGGAGTCTATCCTTTGATCGCTGTTTGCATGGTCCCCGGATATCCCGGAATCACCTGATTTGTCAGCCGACTGATCTGATCGCGGCGAGGATTCTGGTGATACATTGGGCGACACCTTTGTTTCCACGGCAAGTGGCTGTGTTTCTACAAAATCATATTAATTTTCATGGTTCATACTGCATTTACCCACGATTACCTTAACGCACTATTTAGGCATATAATTTCTAGTTCTTAGTTCGATTTTCTTATAGACCACTTTAGAAAATGAACTTTTCTTAATTAGAGTCTATATATTCTAGCTTAATCCCCAAATTTACTGTGGAATTGTGAGTTTATCATAACATAGGGTATCATAAATTAAGAATTAGGTGACTGGTATAAGTGTATTATAAGTGTGTATACTTTATTATTAACATAAATAATATTATTATGCTTGAAAAGTTCTGAACCTTGCTCAGTACAGATATTTGCAGGGGAACAGATATCAATTGCTTAATTTATGTACTCTTAGTTGGAGACCATTTTGTATGAAGTGTCAATTACCATTCCTAGGTGCAATATTTACCTGCAGCTAAATGTGCGTCTAATGAAGCCAGTTGCTTCCATGCAGCCGCTGGTGAAAACCGTGGCACAGCCAGCTGCTTTTTAGGCAAAGTTGGTCGTAGTCTCAGCGCTATACCTAATGATCCTTCTGAACCTTCACCTTCCGATCCTGATGATAAAGCTGATTCGGATGACACTGCGACAGAATATGTAATCGTTAATATTAGTATACACATAAATACGAAACTTCTTCGATTTTTTACAATTTTGAATTGAAATTGAAAAACGAAAATTGGCATATTAAAAAAATTGGTAATATAAAAAAAAATGATGAATTAACAAACAGAAATAACTAATGTAATATATTTGAAAATCCAAAAACGTATTAGGCCAAATATATTAGATTAAAAAAATTTACATCCAACTGCTTGATTCGATAGGATGAACATGCATTTATCATTTATCCAGGTTAAGTGCATTCCCAGTATGAGGACATTATTTAAAGGACAAAAATATACTGCGCCAACTCTGAATAATAATAATGATAGTTTATTCAGCAAACATGGTTACACTTACGAAGAAGATTCATATAAAGTAACATATGTATCTTCTTTGTAAGTGTAACCGCGTACATGTAATGGAAGTAAAAATGTTAGGTAATGTTTGCCGAAATAGTTCCCGGACAGTGTTATGTTTCTACATTAGAACGAGAAAGATATAATAATATGGATTATCTAATTTAATATTGAATTATTTTTATTGTAGTGGTTAACTTACAGTTTTTAACTTTGCAGTCTTCTTTTAGTTTTGCATTGAACTTTTCTAATTCAGCATCCTCGTCGTGATATCCTAATAGCTTTTTCTCGATTAGGTGGAAGTTGCTGAACTCTTCTATAATGGGGCTGCCGAGTCCAGGGAAGTCTTTCAAGTGTTCCCGAGGCTCAGCTTGTTTACTTTCAATCATACCAAAGTAGAACTGCTTTGATGGTGCTGGCTTTTTCCTAGAAATAAGTATTATAAATATAGAATTTATTACGAAAATATACTTTACATATTATAACTGTAATAATGTGTTTTCGTAATAAGCAATAAATAATTCATATTAAACAAAGTAAAAATTGTTAAAAATTTAAAAACTGTTTTAATATACATACTTATCTTGTGAAAGTTCAGTCGGTGGTACATTATTTCTAGTAGGAGAGTGTTCAGGAGTTGATTCCTTGCCAGACGCCTGTCCTCGATCAGGCAACGGTTTTCCACTCTCTTTACTATTGAACTTATATTTATTGACTACTGCGTTATTTTTTACATTTACATTATTTTGTGCATTTGTCACTTTAAATTTGGTATCATTTGATCGGACCAAAGGTCTTCTAGTAATCGCTGTTTTTGTTTCTTTCCTGTTAGAAATGTTCGTTTTAAGACTAGACTCTTTGACTTTGTTCTGTATTGTTGATTTCGTTGGGTTTGGTTTCTGTGTGTTCGTTCTATCGCTCTGACTAGTTCTGTTTTCACTAATATTAATTTTATTGCCTAACTCGTTTCTTATTCTACTTGTAGCCTTTTTGAGCTCCGCTTGAAATTCATCTTTTTCGTCACTACTTTTGGGCAATAGTGATGGAAGAGATTTTCTCAAAGGCTTATTGGTTTCTGCTAAAGGTGTCAGCCGATTTCCTCTCAGCTGGTCGCCTATAGCTTTTATCTTACTTTCATGTGAAATTTTTGGAGATTCACAATCTTTTTCACTTGATGGCAAAGTGCTGTCGAAAGTTTTTTCTCTTCTTAAGGTTGGTTGTTCGCTATCGTCTTTTTTAAACCTTTCTGAATACCTAAAATTCCTATTAAGTAAGGGGGTTTTCCATGCTTCCCCTTGTTCCATTGTCTTTGATGTTTTCGCTCTACATCCACTGACTTTATCAGTTCTAGCCTTTTTGTAGTCTTGTCTCAGTTGTAGCAAGCGCTCTTCTCTTTTTAATGACGATGTACTTTGTACCATATCTTGGCTGTCTGGATATTTAAGATGCTGTTCTTTATCTTTACAAGGTGATCTATATCTTCTCTCAAAAGCTTGATTTTCATTCAAATCTAGAGATCTGTAGCCATTGTTTGTGTTTCTGTACATTTTGTTATTATCTACAAGGCCATTCATCTTTTTCGTTTCATTTCTTGTTTTAAAAAGCCGCAGTTTTCGTTGTGGTTCCGTTTTAGCATTTCTTTCACTCGAATCCGGTGATGAACCCTCGAAATTCTGAAATAATCAAATGTTATTGCGATTAATGAATTTAGTGTGATAAGTACTTTATATATAAACTACTTTAATATTTATAATTTGCTCTGCAAATTTCTTTGTACTTACATCATGCGTTGGAGGTGGGGGTGCTCGATATTTCTTACGAAAATGTTTATTGGTACATTTTGGTTTATGTTGTTCTTCTTCTAATCTAAGATCAGGCTCGGATCCAAATTTCTTATTTAAATTACTGCCTGCAAAAACATTAAGTTTATTAACTGAAACTGACATATTAGTTTGAAATTATCAACAATTTGTTTTAATCTAAATTAAGCTTACCATCATGATGCCTAAGGTCGAGGTTTGTGTGTGACCTATGCAAAGGGTCTCTCTCCCTGGATCGAAGGTCACCAGTTTCGACACCGCCACCCGCCGAACGAGACCGAAACGCGTTGGAATGCTGTAAATAATTATACTGCTGTTAAATATGATAGGCACTTAATAAGCAGTCTCTTGGACATGGCAGTTTCCATGTATTTTCTGGGGTGCAATGTTAGTTGACCCTAACTTGACCTAGCAGGTAGGGAAGTGATTAATTTTCTAGATTCCTGTGTTTTTAACAGGTTGGTACACACGAGTGTTAAATTGGTTGCTGTCAACGCACTTGACAGACGAATTAATATTTTACGTACTGTGTTAAGGTTCACATGAAATGCAAAATGTTTATAACCTATATGATAAAGGTATATTATAATATTTTCTTTATAATTAAATATAAAATTCCTAGTTTGGAACCAAAATATTAAAAACTCAGCACTGAATGTAATGTTTTTATCGTAAAAAAATATCTTAAGTCTATGAACAGTTTACATGAGATCGTATCTGCGTTGCCAACTCTGAACTTACGTAATAGATTTTTACAGACCTTGTTACAAAATGGCATAATTTTTCTGGAATCCATAAACGTAGCTATAAAGAAAAATTTGATTCATACGTCCTAATTCTAATAAAATACTACATTTTGTTTTAGACTTAGGGCATTATATTTTGAAAATCTGTTTAGTTCTGTTGTCATTAATTTCCTCGATAAAAGTCTTAATGTATCTAAGAGGTCTTTTAAAACTTTATTTATTTATAGGAATCACCAACATAAGACACAGCCAATCATTTTAATACAATACACCAGTGTATTAGGTCTAACTATTCTTATATTTCTAGGCTTTGTATTTGAGAAATATTCAATTTTATTCTGCAGCTAAGCAATTATGTTAGCACAATCAAGTTTCGGTTGGAGAAGGTGGGATATGGGACTAGGCATAATCTAAATCTTAGACTTTAGAAATGGCAACAAATGATAGTATTCAGTCAGAGTGTATTCTGGGATATCTACGAACGTCTTTATATGGCTTGTTTGTTAATTTAAAAACAAAAGAGTTTAGAGTTAAAATTTTCTTACCACATGTCCATGGGGGACTCTAGGTTCATGTAGGATGGAGGTGGGCCTCCGTCCACTAATGGTGCCCCCTGAGTGCAGGATGGCGCCGTTGTCGGTACTGCGCAGATGTGGCGAATCCGGAAGCGACGGAAGGACCTGAAAACACATTGAGGTTTATATAGACATGTTTCAAATGCACTAGGAGAATCGTTCTTTACCATTTCTTTTACAATTGATAGAGTTTACTGCCTTGTTGGTCCTAATTTAACTTTTTGACGATTTAAGTTACATTTTTCTTTTCGGGAGGGTGAAGTAAAACCTATGTGTAAACATGTAATTCCACGTTCTTAATTTAAATACAAGTTACAAAGTTACCTTTTGTTCGCATATTTCACAGATTTTGGTTGTATGTAATCACTTCTGAATGGCGTGTTAAGATACGAGAAAACACACGCCAAATTTTAAGTCCGACCTTCTAGAATAATAAGCTGGAACTATGAAAACCGCATACAATTTGATGCGGTGGTTTTTACATGATGCCGGAATAAACTTACAGATGGACAAAAATTCAAAAAAATATTGTTTTCACATTAATTTCTTTTATTAAACGATTGTTTACAAGTCAAACGCGCCTGGCTTTAACGAATTGAATCTGATATATATCTGAATATATTTTTTTAACATATTTAGCAGTAATTCCCAACCAATACGACATCGTGACTTCAAGAAAATATATTGCTTTTTAAAAAGTATGCCTCTAGTGTTCATGGGCGGCGGTAGTCACTTACCAATAGGTGAGCCGCATGCTCGTTTACCCTCAGTGTTATAAAAAAATTAAAATTCAAATTTTTATAAATGCATATGATTTGTTTAATAACATTTTAAATAACTCTTATGTTAGTTTATTGACACAAACATATAATTGTAAAATCAACTCTTGTTAAAAAAAGCAACAGTTGAGTTTCTTGGCCAAGCTGAGATTATATTCCGAATGGGCGGTAGAAATATAAAAAATGACTATTCAAAAGTACTTGTAACTAAGTTTACTTGAATAAAACATATTCTTATTAGTACTCATCATATAATATTTCCGTCTGTTATATATATATATATATATATATATATATATATATATATATATATATATATATATATATATATATATATATATCCTTACATAGACGTATCTAGAGTTCCTATAAAACATCTCATTATTTATAATTGTCGTGTATTCACAAATGAAGTCCCTTTTTTGTTAAACAATTTAGAATATATAGATAGAGCATCGAGTCTCAAAAACGTCCTTTTTGCCAGTTAATTGTCAAATTAGCTGACCCGTTTTTTATCAGTATCTTACGTACACAATGTATCTTGACGTATCTATATTTAATAAATAAAACATGTTTTTACGCATTAAAAAGATGCAAAAATTATAAAACAAAATATGTAAATATAGAAGTTATAAAGGAAACAGTCATAACTATTTATCACGCAAAATTGTACGAAAAAGCTGATCCGCTTTTCTTGAAACACTATATCTCTAAGATATACATGTAGCCTCTAAGCTTGTAACTTGTAAGATATGGGGGAAAGGGATTGTTAATAATGGAGCCAAATAGTTCCATTACTAACAATATACCCTGTCAGGTCGATCTCCACGTGATTCCCCCCTGGAAGCCATCTTGGTTAATTCTAGTTGAATTCGTCAGGATGGGCTAACTGACCTGCTTTCATCGTCACCTATCATCTCTCACTGGTACCCCGCCAGTGTATACCGATAGCGCAGGCGGGGTTACCATGCCATTTTCGTCCATTAAAAAAAACTGTGCATTACCTTGGGCGCAAGGCGCGGTGGTTCGTGGGGCAGGGTGTGCGCGCGGCGGGCGCGTTGCGGCGCCGCGCCGGCCGGCTGGCTGCCCGCCTGGCCCATCCCGACCTCGCTATATCTGCCACCTCATCTGGAAAATATCAAAAATAAACACATGTTAGAATACCTATGAGAAGTTTTTTTTCAATGGTTGATAATGGAATGGCAACCACGCCTGCGCTAACGGTATACGCTGGCAGAGAACCAGTGAGAGGTGATAAGTGAGGATGAAATGGCAACACATGGGGGGTATCATAGGCGAAACAGTATACTCTGTTATGTCCATGGTACTGCTCATGTCTGTAAGTGACGGTTACCACTTTCCATCAGGTGGGCCGTCAGCTTGTTTGCCATTCTAAGTTGTATAAAAAAAAAAACGTAGATTAAGCACGATAGTTTCCATGGAGGACCCCGTGGAAGTCGACCTGATACGGTATATTGCTAGCAATGGGACTGATAGTCCGCATTACTAACAATTCCTTCCCCCCCCCCCACCCTATGAGTACTACTCATAAGGGGTAAGTATAAATCATTGTCATCATATCAGCCTTTAACTGTTCACTGCTGAACATAGCCTCTCCCCTAAGAGGGGTTTTGCCAGTAGTTGCCACGTTTGACAGGCTGATTGGCAACAGTAGTTTGGCTTTTGGCGATGTTTTAAGAGGAACGCTGCAGCCCATTCCTCGCCTTTCCTTAGTCGCCTCTTACGACATCCACGGGAAATGAAGGAGTGGCCTATTCCATACTGGGACCTACACGGCTAATTTTACTGCTATGATAACTATGAATATCTAGGTACTTCCATGATATCAATAGTTGCTACTAAATCAAACTTGAAAACAGCAATGGCTGAGTTTCTTTTCAATTCTTCTCAGCCGAGTTGAGCATGACTTGTTCATGCACGAGTCTCGTTTAATAAGTGATAACTTTCTTAATGTATTCGGGGTCTGAAAAGAAGTAATGTACATTTTGGCGGAGGTACCTCGACAGAGAGTTCACTGTACCTTAGAGCCTAGATAATCGCGTACAACGCGGTTTCATACATTTTTTTACCCACGAATGCTCAGGTTACGAAATAAGCTCCCTGTCGAGGTTTTTCTAAGAGACTACAACATGGGGTTCTTAAAAAAAGGGATAAAATGGTTTCTTCAGGGTCAGCAACGCGCGCGTAATGTCCCTGATATTGCAGGCGTTCATTGGCTACGGTAACCACTTGGCATTAGGTGGGCCGTATGCTTGTTTGCCACCTCAGTGGTATAAAAAAATACACAAAAGAAGCCACTTTTTAAAAATTTATTAATTCTTATGACAATAGTTAATTTATCATTATAATGTATCAAACAGGGATCAATGTGGTAGCATTTGATAAAATCTGATTGGAATGAGAGGGGGGAAGGGATTGTTAGTAACAATGAATCACTAGCAATCTACCGTATCAGGTCAAATTCCTCGCAGTCTCCCCTGGAAACCATCGTGCTTAATTCTATCTAAATTCCTTATGATAGGTCAACTGACCTGCTTTTTTATTCTCACCTATCATTCCTCCCTGGTACCCCGCCAGCATATATCGTTAGCGCAGTCGAGGTTACCATTCTATTATGATTCCATTAAAAAAATCGGATTTGAATCGAAATTAAACCTATTACGTAGACTTCAAACTTCAAATATAATAGGGCAATGACCTTTTGACGTTTACGCTTTTGTTGTATCAATTTAATGGAAAATAATTAATTTCTAAGGGAATCCGAAAAATAGAAAGCTCTTGATTCTACTGTTTATTAATTCTTTTAAGGGCATTAACTTTTAACGTTCGAGGTTTGAATATGGAACCAATAAAACGTGTAGTTGGCCGAGCGATAGTGACCCGTGTGCGGTCAGCTTAAAATCCATTTAATTCTATTCAAGTTAATAGAATCTTTAAAAAAAAAAAACTAGCTATTAATTATATGGTTATGGTGTAATATGAAATGTAATAACAAATCTTTTATAAACTTTTCTATTAGTACAAACGTAGTTACAAATTACAGGGCACCGGTCCTAAGCCATAATTCAAGATTAACCTCCTCCCGAAACGTTTGGTTCACGGCCAGGGTTGTCGAGCACAGATACAAAAATAATATAATTTATTGAGAAAAGTTATTTTAACAGAGGGAGACTTGGTACAAAAGTCGATTGCTTGGGTACCTCTGTCCCATTCGTGTTTCAACCGTGAAGCAGTTGTGTTTGCATCGCTGTGTTTCGGTTTGAAGGGTGAGATATGGCGTGAATTTATTGGGTACAGAGGAATAACATCTGAGTCCAGGAATGGCAACGCATGGGAGGTATCACGGGCGAAACAGTTTACTCTGTTATGTCCATGGTACTGCTCATGTCTATAGGCGACGGTTACCACTTTCTATCAGGTGGGCCGTCAGCTTGTTTGCCATTCTAAGTTGTATAAAAAAATCAAAAGTGATATAAAATATTTTTTTTGTACCATGATACTAAATCCAAAAATTATATTGAGAAATCAAATGTTCCTTAAGTTCCGAAGGCCTTTGGCACTCGACTCGAATCTATCTGCTTACCCAGCAGCGTATTGGCTTAAAGTAAATAGATTAATATTTAAATGTACTTTATATGTAATTTGGGTTATAATTAGGTTTTCAATAACCTTTAAAACAATTTAAATCAAATTCATAAAATAATAGCAAGAAGTATTAATTAAGAAATATTAAATATTATAGATACGGGAGTAAAGACATACAGATCCGTGTTGTGACAACCCTACGCTCCATAAGTAAAACTACTAATATTTTAATGTGAACCCAAAGCAATCGCCTGAGCTTAAACTTTCTCCTATTATTCGTATCGGACATTTACACCCTGTATTAATTTTAAAGAGTTTCAAAGAAAGGATTTACCTACATGACATTGCGTTCAACAATCCAAACATTTAAACATGGGTATTTATAATAGAAACGTTCAGTGATCCTATTTCGATGATTATTTCTGCAAATTCATTGGAATTTGTAGCAAATTAAGTAGATTTTCAATCGATTTAAAAAAAAGGAGACTCTTAATTCAGATGTAATTTTTTATGTCTTACTTCATAACTCCGTTAGTTGTAAACCGATTTGGAAAATTCTTTTTTTTTTTATTTGAAAAGATATACTTACAGATTAGTCTCATAGAAATTTCATCAAGATCGGTTTAGTAGATAGATATAGATAGATAGATACTCATTGTTTCCTCCAAAAGATTACAATAGTAAACTTATTATAAATATAAACAATTGCAAGAAATAATCGCAATGAGAGAACAACGGGCGACCGTATCGCTAAGAGCGATTATATTATGAATAAAAGGTAATATATAAATATTAGCTACTCATCTTTAAAAAATCATTTAATGTATAATATGTTTTATATATATATATATATATATATATATATATATATATATATATATATATATATATATATATATATATATATATATATATATATATATATATATACATACAGTGCATTACAAAACACAAAGGCATAACTGTAAACTAGTGTTTATGTACCATTTCACGGTTGAAGAGGCGTTTTCTCGAACTATTAATCCTTAATAGTTTTAAGCCTCGGGCATTTGCGCATTGCACCTTAACGAATATGTGGAAACACTTCCGCGAAATAACATCTGCTACATATTAATAATCTGTAAATGTTTTAAACAATAGTCTAGCATAGACCTTACCTTATCAACCGACTTCAACTTCTCACTTCGATTGTATTTTTTTTATACAACTTAGAATGGCAAACAAGCTGACGGCCCACTTGATGGAAAGTAGTAACCGTCGCTTATAGACTTGAACAGTACCATACACATAACAGAGTATTCTGTTTCACCCATGATACTCCCCATGCGTTGCCATTTCTGAGGACTCAGTTGTTATTCCTCTGTACCCTGTAAATTCACGCCATATCACACTTTTCAAACCGAAACACAACCATGCAAACACAACTGCTTCACGGTAGAAACACGAATGGAACAGAGGTGTTTTTTTTTTCTTTTTTGATGGGTGAAAATGGTATGGTAACCCCGCCTGCGCTAACGGGATACTCTGGCGGAGCACCAGTGAAGGGTGATAGATGAGAATGAAAACAGGCCAGTTAGCTCATCATGATGAATTCATCAGGAATTAACCATGATAGTTTCCAGGGGGAACCGCGAGAAGGTCGACCTGGTTGGGTATATTGCTAGCAATGGGATTCTCAGTCTCATTACTAACAATTCCTTTCCCCCCAAGGAACAGAGGTGTTCACGCAAACAACTTTTGTACAAAGTCTCCCTCTTGTGATTGTTTATGTTTATTACTTCACAACTCTGGCATTTATAAACATAATAAACCAATAATAATTGTAACAAAACCAGTTATTTTGATCCAGATGATTGTTTAGATAAACAACTAAACTACTGTAAGAATTTTGATAAAACTCTATAAGTATGTACAATCTGTAAGTATATCCTTTCAGATAAAAGCTAAATCGATTTAGAACTGACTTAGTTATAAAGTTTTTTTTTTATTTTATTTAAGCATTTCCTCTTGTCTGTGCAACTAATTCATGCATCTATTTCCAGCCAGCTCTATCCCAGGCCATATCCTTGAGTTATAAGGTAACAAACATTAAAAAAAATACAACCGAATTGAAAGAAACCAAAATGTACGTATGCGACAGTTATAGTAAGCATACTAAAACAGTCTGGATTTAACTGAATCTAAAAAGTTAAATTTAACCTACGAAATTATGGAACAAGTATGTCAAAGGCGACGGCAATATATAAGGTTCGTTAGTGAACCAACCCTCCAAGCGTCGTCGTGTGGGGCCCAGTTGTTCAGATAATTTATCCTCCCTAAATGCTGATAGGGATTTATAAAGAGAAAGCTGTATGTTGGCTATAAACTATTCATAATTACAAAATTATAGGCTGTTTAATGATCTATGAGAAATGTTAGAAGGATGAAAGTTAACAAAACAGGTGAGCAATTACTATTATTATGTGATATGTTAAGTGATCAGAGAAAGGTATAACTTGTGTACTGTTCCATCCCAAATAATA